AGTAAATATACTTGCGATTGATATGTCAAATATTATTTTCAAATTCAAATAAAAAAATAGTGCAGTAACGATTTCAAGTGTGTCTGTTCTGGTCTGAAATGTCTACAAATAGATAAGGCCAGTACCTTATTTTTGGGCCAATCATAGCAAGTCTTCAGACGTAAATACATGACAATGGATAGTCTTGAAGGATTGTTATTATGTACTGTCATATGCGTTTAAAGTAAAAACTTATTTTTATGAATGCTAGTTAGATAGTCGAATTAATTTACGATCTTCAGTTATAGTTTGGAACGCTTGAGTTGAAATGTCTTGACGTTGAGACATATTTTTAGCTTTATTTAAAAACTGATGGACAGCGTGTAAGAGATGACTCAGTAGAGTTGTCAACACCATTAAAACGGCAAATGTTCGATGATTCAAATATTTGGAGTACTGTTAAATCACGCCACAATTCAATATTTCTTAACTGGAAATAAGTGACTTAATATAATTGGTTGCATAATGAAAATAGCAGAATGGTTTGCCTCCTATACAGGAAACATAAAACGTAAGCTAAGCTGTAAGCGAGTTTGGACAAAAGCATTGTATGAGTTACGGATGGAATACATTCCACACCATACTGCATCATCTTATCGAAATGCACTACTACATAATGCATGGTTTAACTCACAAGTTTAAAACTTTTGAGTATGAAAGACACAGTGTATTAATGTCTAACGATGTCAATAATTATTGATTATCAAAAGCACAGAATTTGTTTGTCAATTTTTCAATTTTCATAAGTTCGAAATTCTGCTATGCTATACATTGGCTCGAGTCAAATTATAGTCTTGAAATATTTGTACTCAGTCAGTGAGCGTTCGGTTATCCTAAAATTCTGAAGAGAAAAGCATGTCATATCACATGTTTGTATCTATAACGTGAAAGGACAGTTTAGGTGTATATTGATTTCCTCTTATCCCTTTTTGTTCGATGAATAATATAATATTTTTCTGTTATCTAATATCTTCACTGGTGCTGGATAAGGTTTGTCTAAAAGAGGATTCAACAATATAAATAAATAATTCATCCCGTGAGAGACTAGAGAAAGCATTCAGCATATTGAATAGGCAAGGGAAAGAGAAAACACGTGTATTATTTAGTACAAAAGTACTTTTATCATAATTGCAATAAGCACTTACGGATATAGATGACAAATGAATTTTCAATTATCAATGAATGTCAATGTATTATCCCAGGAGGACAAAATAAAAGGTACAAATAGGTACGATAAGTACATTTGACTAATATTGAAAAAAAGAGTCGATCGATAGGATATAACAACAATACGTTATCAAGTTTCAGCTGACAAATACTATTCTCTTACCTGCATGATACAGGACAGAAAATATCTATATCATTAAACAAGACGAAAGTCAGGGTATGGTTCCGTTGAATATCAAATCTGACCGAAGACAAGCTTAAAGAAACTATTTCTGAAAAAAAACAAAAGAAAAATAAGAAGAAGTGCCCTGAATGAGTAAGCGTCTTCTGCTTCAATGATGGTATTTTTGTTTTCGTAAAAGTTTTTAAAAAATCATGTTCCGGAAAGCTAAACAAGGAAACTACCAACCATATTAACCAGCTCGCGTTATTAAGTCATTTAATCTGAACTGTCGACAACATTAAGATGTTAACTCTTCCTGAACATATGGTCTTATTATAAATAAAAATAATGAAAAAGATATCAATTCGAAAACAACTGTGTGATGGTATTTTATTTATCCTTTCATAAAGAGCATATTTCACCAAATACACAGTATCTTATCAACTTGTGGCTCTGAAAGGCCTCTAAATTTGTGCTGAACCAAGGTATCCATCCAACGTTCGGCCACGTTTAACTTTAATCACTAATTGTCAGAAATTACAAGATTCTCTCCAAATTCGGTCTGTAGAGTCTTTGGGAGCAGGAGATTCAAATTTGTGTAAAGGGTTGGCATTAACCTCTATTAGGCAGAATTATAGGTTTTAACAATTGCTTGCGTATTTCCAATCTCCTAAATTTGTCCTAACCTGCATTGCGCGTTTAAATGATTTTGAATAGTGTCACGGTATATGACATACAGACGTATTTGTTCTTCTAAAATGATGAGATACGAAAAAAAAAAGAGTATCTGTCAATCTAGATTTTAACATTCCTTTTAATCCCAATAGATTTACCTCTTTCTCTTTCTAGTCCCTTAGTATCATTTATGATCCCTAAAAACACCTAACAGTTGTCTCATACAATTTAATTAATTAACTTATTTGTCTTTACTGTTTCTAATGCTAGACTTTAACCTTAGGTGCTTTTCACTTCGGTGTACAAAAGATTAAACATTTCTTTTTTAATTTCAAGGTATTTCAAGGTTTACATATCGGTAATAATAATCAAGTTCACCGGATTATGTGATATCGATAAAGTCTGTTTTAGAAATTAAATCTTTTGAAATGTGCATCGCAATCTATCAGTAATTACTTTAATTAATTTATGATTGCTGACATGAAAGAAAATGTGAAAAAAAAAAAAATTCAATGGTGTGTAAATTTTAACATATCTTCTGAAAAGAAATGAGACAGGAAAACGCCTTTGGAGTTAATCTTTATTCTGACGTTGGAAACACACGTTCATTGTATTCATATCTTCCTGAAACTTTAATTCCAATGATATTGCGATATTAACAACAGAAGATAAACAAAATGCGTTTCATTTCCAATTGAAAATTTATCTAAAAAATATCCAATGACTTGAAATTTAACCCTGAAACGTAAATAAGTAATATTCACTTTTTACTTTCCCTATCAATGAATCATCTGAACAATAGTTTACATATAATTTATTGCATTCTTCAGCAAAAAATACAAATATATATAAGACGCAAATGAAATATTTTAAGATTATTCATTCATAAAGATGTTATCTTATACTGGAGTAATACAATAGAGGATATAAAAGTAAAAGTTTTCTGTATAAGATGTTACAGAATGTGTCTTCAAATCAATTAAAACACATAAATGCTATCAATTTAAATTCATGTAAATTACATGAATGTTTTAAATCTTGCATCATTAATGGGGAATCACTACCAGACGAGAAAATCGTTAAATCCATAAACATGAAGCTTGCCGAGTATGAAGCAACTTAAAAAGCTTACCCATAAAATTGAGTCTCCCCTATCCCTCCAACATTGAGCTGAATTGTTGCTAATCTACTATGATTAGAATTTAAGGTTATTGAAATTTCGAAAATGTTGTTGAGTTTTTGATTGATGGCAAGCACTCACTATCTCCAACCTTGCACGGGTAGACACATCAGTCAGGGGTAAGGAGTAGAAAGTTGATTAATTATCTCGGCATTCATGTAGCACTACAATCTGCATATCGGTCATATTCGTGACCGTTTTATCACAAAACCACCATTCTCCTACATTTACTTTATTCCAAGGTTACAGAAAACGTATCATGATAGTTTCAGACAACAATGTATTCCATGTTCAAGGATGGTATTTAGTAAATAAAGGATTATTTAGCTTATAAATCAATTGTTATTCCTGTACAAGTAACAATCTTTTGACCACATAAATTCGAGAATTAGCAAATTGTAAGGCATCTCCATATCTAAATTCTACTACTCACCATCAGTGTTTATTGGTCTAATTAATACTACTCTTCATCATAGTTGATACATTTATTTGTTCTGTCATTAGTTAATATTAGCACATGGGTAACCAATATGTAATGATTATAACCTGTTGAAAAATGTAAGTAATATTTGTTGTATATGAATATATTTGAGCGTCCGGTTGCAATGCAAGATATAAATGCGCTGAAAAAAATTATAATTACAGGAAAAAACATGATTCATCTTTATGTTATGTAACTTTGGTTCGAATGACATTTTAATTTTATTTTATTAAGTGATATAAAAGGCTGATACATTTGAGTATACTTAAGAATACCATTTGATATAAAAATCTAAGAAAATATATCGATTTAATATTATTTACATGGTATACGTCTGTGCATTTATGTTTTTGCTTTTTGATGACGTTATATCACCGCTTAATCAAAAACGTTAAATTAAATTTGAGATGACTCTCCGAGACAAACATTGTCTTTATAAACCTGTTTTGAGAACTGAGATAAATAGACTTTGTATATGTAAACATACAGGATATTTATGCCCAACTCCTGTTACACTGCATTTATCTTTGTTCAAATACAGAATATGTTTAGGCTACTTTGAAATATTTGCACATGTTCCTGGCGTAAAGTATATTGAGCAATGAAAACAAATACATCAACCGAACATCTTGCGAACGGTATTATCAGATCATCTACCTGCCATATTAGGAAATCTGTACACTCAGTAACATAATCGGTCAACTACCCGTCTCTTTACGGACTACTTTTGTATATGCGAACGACCAGCGTCCGTTTAATGCGACACGTAAGTACAATTCATAACTGTTGCTTGGGATTATATATCTCGCACAAGCCGAAAGAAGATCAGCATTAAATGAAACAAGAAAGATTTCGATCATTACGCAGAGAAGGATTTCTTTTTACGCAATGGCTGCATTTCCCCACAACTGTGTCATAATTGAATCATTCAAATATTCAGCATTTGAGTATTAATTGTTTTTACAAATGCGAAACGTCTAAAAGAATTATTTTAAAAAATCCCTGTACACTTACATAACATGATGTATCGGCTAAAGTAAAATATGCTCATTGTCTTAAGTATACTTTTCCTGTTTGTTAGACTAAATGTGTCGTTCATTTACAGTTATATCTGGTGATATAATTTTCAACACTTTTCCCAATATGACTGTGGGTTTTTTGGGACGTTATTGTGTGACTGAACTGATTTTCTTTTTTTGTTTGCGGAGATCATATGCACGTTGTCCGACACTAGAGATCGGAAAAAGATCGCTCGTCAAAATCAATGATGACACATTTTTGTTCTGGTTTGCTTTTCAAAATTTTGTCGTGTTGTCTGGTTTTTCCGATGTTTCCTGATGAGAGAAGGCTGCGTTAACATATCCGTTATTGTCAGGTTCGTATGATGTATTTGTTCCCCCATTCGGCAGCTCGGGTGCGGAAGGTTCTGTTGTAGTTCGAGTGAAGGCACCATTCCCGTAGCCGCGTGGTTCTCCTGGTTCAAAAGATATGACCTGGCCTTTTGGCTGATATACGCCTCCCTCCAGATCTACAGGGGACATCTCGACCGTTTTAGAATATCTTGGACCGGTTCTATTTTCAGGAAGAGCAGGTCCCCATGTACTCGAAGGCGAATTGATTTTTCGGCAGAGCTGTAAACAAAGACACAATTACTTCCTGTGAAATTAATACATCATCGTAAATGTGGATACTACTGAAAAACTGGACAAAAATATATTTTATAGTTAAAAACACGTTCTACAATATACTCTAATGCGAATTACATGTTGCAATACACATTGAGAATTAGGTACAGTATAGAGAAATAAAGACACAGACTGATTGGACTTGTCAGTGACGTCAGGGCATAACTGTTGAAGTCTAGGTGTCAATTTAGAAGACTCTAAATTGGTCAAAAGAAATAATGTGACATTGATGTGGAAGTACATCATCCGCATATATAATCACTTTCATGATTCCCTGTCATATACACTGTACAGTAATGAAGTTATCATACATTATCAATTAATAAACTGCTGAATAGTACTGAATACAATTATTCTTGTATATAAATGTATTCTGATATCGCATTTGGTTTTCCCTTGTAAATTATATGTTTGATTACTTTTTCCCAGTGGTACCTATTGTGAAACTACCATGTGAATTGAAACAATACTAATTCATTAACTTGTTTTCAAATTTATTTATAGAAACAAAATGCATTAATATTTTTGATAATTCAAAATGATAATTGTATGATGTTTTGAAGGAGAATATCATTAGTCCAAATTGGCTTGTGTTCTTTTGATAAATGACATTTATTTCTACCTCACTGGTACACTTACCGAACCCAGACCATTCCTCCACAAGTATACAATATACCAAAGGGGCATGCAGATAAGAGCGGCAGCAACGATCATCCATCCTATGGCCTGGGCCCAGTCTGGGTACCGATATCCGTCGGACACAAAAGGCTCCGACTCAATGATCTTCGCTATTATAACCGTCTGTAAAGCAATCGTAGTCAGGTCATGTCAAACTTCTATACATATATATTTAACTTAAAAACCAATTTGAAATTTAAAAAGAAAATAACGGTTTTTCATAATGTAATACAGGTTTGAAGTAAAAAGGATAAATACTTATTAATAGCAATCGTAGTCAGGTCATGCCATACTTCTATACATATATATTTAACTTAAGAAGCCAATTTGAAATTTTCAAAAATAATAACGGTTTTTCATAATGTAATACAAGTTTGTAGTAAAGAGGATACATACTAGTATATTAACGTTCTTATTTCAATGGTATTAGAATTAGTGTATTTTATTACTCAAACATCTCCAATTTACAGTACCAAAATGTAGCAGCAAATTACATTTATTAAGGGTATTATGTGCACCGTTAAGTGCACTATGTGGGATATTTGTTTTGAGGATACAATAAATTAAATATAATGAAAACGAAAACGATCCGGATACCAATTTGTCATACACTGTTAAGCAGGTAGATGTTATTGTATAACTGTAACATAAAATGATTTAATTTTTATATGAACTTACCGTCAAACCTATAGGAGAAACAACACACCACATCAGTCCAAAGAAATAAAAACTAATTGTGACACAGATGTTTCTGCCAATCATCATTTCAATGTCTTTTTTAAAATTCCCAAATCCTGAAACCGATTTAGAAATAAGAGCTTTAAACAAAAACTACAAATATTTCTTTTCAAAATGTATTGAAATCAGAGATGAAAGTATCGCTCTTGGTGATATAATTTGATGGGTACTGGTACTATTTGTCTTTCATTTATGACTAAAATTATAGAAAGAGATAAAAAAAAAAGCATAACTTGATTAAACGATAACACGTGTCTGGAACAGTTAAATAACGTCTGGCGCATTTAATTAATTTATAATGTGACGATTGAGTATAAATCTTTTAGCGTTCATATGTGAAGACATAGTCATGAAAATGATTAACTGAGAAAAACACCTCCCACTCTTATCCCCCAAAATAAAACCAATATAAAAAGTAAAAAGGAGTATTTTCAATAAAGCATGTTGAAGTTAGGAACGTTTTATGGTAATCGCAATATTTTCATTATGAATATCAATGCGTGGTGTGGATTTCGAAGTGGCTGAGAATCGTTAATATTTTTTTCTTTTAATTATGTTTGCCTTTGTTTCGTCGATTTTGTATTAACGTGTCTATGTGTCATTAATCAGATTCAGTAATGCGTATGTAAAAACAATAAAAATCGACATTAAATATATAAGACGAGGTTTTCAATTAGGTATAAGGTTATGAAGATAAGTTACAGCACATACCACATCAAACATTAACTGATGATCAAATAATACCTACACTATCCAAAAATAAGTAGCATACATATATACATATGAATATGAATAATAATAATGTATAAAGATTACAAAGCACACACCTATCCTGTGAACAGTCTAACAAATACAAGTCATTAGTATCACACATTTGTAATACGATCTAGTGCAGCCTATTGGTTTAGGTCCTCTTTGCTGCCGTAATGACATCGTATTGTATCATATGTTTTTTGTTGTTTTGCAAATAATCCCCCATTAAGTTTCTGTATTAATGAATTTAAAATTTTGTAATATGTTCCAAAGAGTGAACTAGATTACTGAACTAAGTTATATGATAAACAGAGCATTACATTCGTTTCCGTTTCAAAAGAGATTTACAAACCTTGTGATGAATTTGACTTCGGAAGAGCATGTGTTAACTCTTAGACTTGTTTGAACAATCTCAAATGAATCAAATGAATGGCAAGGCACTCTATGTACTAATGTGTTTCATTTTTACATACCGTAAATATAATTAATGGCAATCAGCTCAGTAAGTCCGATGAAAAGCATGGGGAACCCACTGATGAAATGGTCTGTCAACTCAAACATGTAGTAGCCCCCCTACAAATGGAAATGTCAAAGTGATTGCAAAAGAACATTCACATATATTTGAAGAATAAAACGTATATTCTGTCTTAGAATAGTGCGGGAACACCACGTAAAGCTAATTTGAGTTCGTTCTGCAATATTAGGAAAATACCGACATATCAGCATAATCCTATATACTTTTCGAATTCTAAATTCTACAACAAAATATTGAAAAGAACGGTTTACAAGGAGACGATTAAAATGCTTTAAGGAGATTAAGACCTGGTGTTGATTTTTATATGACGGCTGATCGGTTATCATATTTGGAATCTTATTCGGTTCAACTATGAGGACATTTCAGTTAGTGATTTGTTGCAAATTTCGATGTTATAACTGGTTATCATAAGTCGCTAGACCAATATTTAAAAGCCATGTTTTCCTATTATCAAGTACTCAAAGGCCATAGCTTATATTTTGCACTTTTTGTTTACAAAAAGACTCCGTGGAATTCGCTTCAATATCTACTGTTATTAGCATTTTCTCGTTTCAACGTTTCTTTGAAGTTTGGTGTCTAGCAGTATTATGTTGAAATGTCGGTATTTTCCTGTTTAAGACCCCTGGATGTGTGGTTTTCAAATCGCTTTTGTTTGTGGTACGCTCTAAACATACGTGATATTTTTTTCTTCAGAAAAGCTACATTGGTCATTCTCAAATTTGTTATGTAGGTTTCCCTTGGTCCTAGTGGTGTTCCGTAATTTTGAGATTATTCAGAATAACAAAGACGACCATTTCGGATGCTGAAAGTTAATTATTTACCGCTGCTTGAAAACAGACGATCAAGCACAAAACAAGACACAACACAGAAGATCCAACATACGAAGAATCAGCAAAGCTCTTGAATGAGTCGGCGTCAACATCTCTTTTGGAATTCTGGTGGTTTTACATGAATAGGTATTTTTCCCAGAACATTAAATCGTATTGTTGCTTTGCTTTCAAGTGACAGTGTATTTACAATTCATGAGATTAATTAAGTACTTGTAACCATCGATTTTATGTATATTAATGTTTGATGCAATAAATTATTTTCTGTTTTTGCTATAAACGAATTTTTAAAAGACTAACCTCTGTAACCATTGGAAGTCCAAGCAAGAAACCTGTCAGGCATATCAACAACCGGAAACCAATTTTTCGCCACCGAGTGTTAAGGGTACGACTAAATTGATCCATGAGACCGGTTAAAACTGCTTCCACAATCGAAAACTGTAAAATAGATAGATGCAACTTTATCATGTCAATAATGATAATGATAAATACAAATCATACGAAACAACCGGAAGTTAGAATCAGTAGATAATACAGAAGCATCGTGATAACATCCGGAAATAGATAATGAGAATGTTAGAATGAATTAAATAAGAAAGATCACAATAACCTAAGAATGGGGAATATTTCTATTTTCTTCTCTATTGTAATTTTGTTATTAACGAAGTGGTAGAAAACTTTTGTGATATATTGAAGTGAAATTTGGTTTCAATTCCGTAAAATGCCGATAGCCTACTTTGTTCTCATAGTACTTGCCGCATTGACAATTATTACATGTATATCGAAAAGATAGAATATAACTCAATATATTTAGAGAATTTACCTGAGAGCTAAAGCCAAGGGTCATCATCATGAAGAAGAAGAGGATGGCCCATAATGTGGGTACGGACATCTGTGCAAGGCCTTCTGGATACACAACAAATACTAGACCTGGTCCTAAAGAAACAATTTTAGTCATTAATGTACGATATCCACATTATCATTATGAATATACTTTTCTCTCCTCTTTTAAGCTGATGTTTTGAAAGTTATGAAACAACAAGTCATTTTCGGGTAATGTTTTGATTACATTTTGTACCTGCATGCGGAATGATTTTCTACGTTGGTGTTTCAACATCGGTGAATGAAGATTATTATATTTAGGGTCTTTTCAAATATACCCTACTTTCCTCATTATCATGACTCATTAATACGTATGTCCTCAGTAGGACGTATGTCTGTCTTCATAATGTACCTAGACATGACATATCATTGACTTTTCCTTCAATTCCACATTTCATACATTAGCTTGAGAAAAATAAGATTGAATTGGATTATCATTGTATTTCTATGATCTGCCGCTTGGTAAGCACGGCCTGTAAGATTATTGTTACATTGCCAATTTATCATCATCATTAAAATCGGATCTTGTGTAACTTGACACTTACCTCCAGCAGCAACGTCAGCAACAGACACGCCTTTGGAATAGGCCATGAATCCCAGAACGGAGAAAATGGCAAAACCGGCATAAAAACTCGTCAAACAGTTGATGATTGGAACAATGAGTGCATCCCTGCAATAAAGCAATTACTTTATCTCTATTTTTGTTTTCCGTTTGTTTACTTATCGTTTGTGTTTGTTGTTTGCTTTTTGTTTGTGTTTTATATTTCAATTAATCATATACAAGTAAAAGAGAAATAAGCTGATATCTGTGCGAGGCAGAATAATTGGGAACCTGCTTTAAATTGTCAACACAAACCTTAGGGTAAGGTTGTTGAATTTGTTATAACTAGCCATCGCAATAAGTCCACCTTGACAAGCGCTGAGAGAGAAGAAAATCTGTGTGGCTGCATCGCTCCAAACCTAAAACGGTGGAAAGTAAACTTATCTAAAAGCTCACATCAAAACAATATTACTTCTTTATATTCGAAATTTCTTTTTTCCGTTATGTCACTGTAAATGACAATATATATATATATATATATTTCTTAAAACAAAACTATCGAATATAAATATGTCAAAGGAAAAACCAATGGTTATAGAGTATGTAAATATAAAAACCATAATATAAAAAATATATAAAAAAAACCCATGATTTGATATGATTATGTACACAACAAAAACACTTGTAATGTAATACTGGGATAATGGTGATCTTAATGATCTTTGTCGGTTGTCTATATATAGTATCTACATATAAATTTAGGTCTTTAGCATCATTGACGACTCCTTGAAGAGCGAAGCAGCTGTATGATGCAGTTAAATTCATGGGGTGGCTTTACTGTATCTAGCTAAATCAGTAAAACACAGTGCTATTCACTTGTGTGTCTTTTGTACATTCTACAAATAAACACAAATAATATTTAATGGAGATTTGAAAAAGGTGTGAAAGTTAATGAAAAATTTCTTTAAGTGCTAATGATACATATTATCTCTTTGAAAGAAGGTTGAGGTACATCTCTTATTCATAGCACAATTACTTTCTGTCGAAAGTACATGAACATATTTTATCCGCAAATAATATTAGAAAATTAACACATATATAATAAAAACGGCGGGTTTCTGTATGATTAAGAGATAAATATTTCTAAATAAGATAAGAAAGCTCACATTCGGATCGCTAACTTTATCCCAGTCAGGGGTGATGTAGAACATAACACCATCGTAGTAACCATCTAGGGTGAGTCCTCGGACTAACATAACTGTCAACAGGACGTACGGGAATATAGCCGAAAAATAAACAACCTGTAATAAAAACAGCCGACAAAATAAACAGCAAGTAATATATTAGCTGACAAAATAAACAACCTGTAATAAAACAGCCGACAAAATAAACAACATGGAATTTATTATTCGACAAAATAAATAACCTGTAATAAAATACAAGATGAAATAAACTATCTGTAATTAAACAGCTGAAAAACAAACAACCTCTAATAGAATAGCCGACAAAATAAACAACCAGTGATAAAATAGCAGATAACATGAACAACCTGTAGAATAGTTGAGAATTAAATAAAGTATTCCCTTGATCAATCTGCATGTTGGTATTACTTTTATTGCCATGCATTTCAGTACAATAGTGGGAAATCATGTGTCGTTCATCGGTCGTACATCGGTAGATTACACTGTCAAGAATAGTTTGAAATGTAATTCTAAATTTCGGTGTAGTTATAAATAAAATAACTAAAAATAAAAAACAAAACGAAAGCAAGAATCTAGATTTGTTAAAAGAATTTTCAAAAACAAGAAAAAGATTCTGAAGAATTTGAGAATAAAAAAGAAACAAAATATATTGTATTAGATCTTTATAAAAATTACCTTTCCCAGAGACTGAATACCCTTGGAAAGCACCAGGAAGACAATCAGCCATGCTAGCAGGTTACATAGCATCACGTCCCATTTCACGTTACCGGGTTCACCAACACCACCCGTCACTCCTAGTACCTTCTCGCTAAGTGACAGAACAAGAAAAACTACAGTAACGCTTGTATATTAACCAGTAATTCTACTTTACAGAAGGGAAAGAGGTATTTGTATGCCCATATATTAACAATAAACTCAATGAAATCCACGCATGAATTTTCATGTGTTTTTATCTATGTCTTCCATTTTCTATAAGATAGTGTGTGATAATTAAATCCTGATTTACTATTTCTACATAAAATACAACTATACAGGTGATTGTGTTTTTATTTAATATACATCTACTGGAGATATGATAATTAATTTTGATTTTAAATCGATGCGAATAAACATTTTATTATCTAAGCCTTTCAGCGATGTAAATATCTAAATTAGTAGAAATTCAACAAAAACTGACAAATAACATTTAGATGAATTTATACTTACAAGAAATATTCCTCGCTCGGACTCGATGTTTTATTGATGGTGTGATTTACTACAATGATAAGTACATAAACTGGTAACAACGCAATCTATATACCCATTCGTACGTTGTAGTTCCCAACCAGGAAATTTAACATGTTAGAGACTCGTCTTTTGGTGATCTAGAATTAACATATTGTAAACAACTACAAAAGCTGTGATTGTCGTACGGGAACATTGAAAATTGAAATAATCTAAACATTATATTCTAATAACATTATTTTTTTATATCAAATACTATATTTTACAAGAGTTTGAATTTCATTCTTAGCAAATACCAAGGAATAGTGTAACTTTAATGTTATTTGTTGATTTTTTCATTAGATTCACAATGAGAAATCATTCTGCAATTTTGGTATTAACAGAAGAACGAGGGAAACAAATATTTCTCCAATTTTCTTTGCTATTTCAAAGATATTGTTGGCATTGTTAGACTATTAAATAATATTGTGTTGCAAACGAGTGTAACCCCATATCTTCAACACAACATGAGACATACATCAGAACATAAGAACAATAATTACAGGATAAAATCTACTTACAGCAGTCCGGCCTTGAGCCTTGCCATGGATCACTTAGGGATAAATTTAATGAACCGTCATTACAGTCACATGTGTTCCAAGTATTGTCACACGCAACCCATGGAAGTGATGACGTCATCGACGCAAAGAAGAAATAGATGCAGTAAGCAATGACAACGTTGTAGTAAATGGCGATTATGGCAGGAACTATGACCAAACACATACCGAGACCTAAAAAAATAATGAAACAGATAAGAGAGATTTCGCATTATATGCCTACGAGTTATGATCAATAGAAGACGAAAAAGATTCGTTTTATTTAGCTTGGTTGTCCAAAACATTAAAAAATGCAATACAGGAATCAGTGCAGAAATACATGTTATATACATATGTTATTGCTGGATTTTGTTCGTTCAATTTCTCTGAATCTAATCATTAGTATTATTTTTTGCTTTTGGTTTGTTCAGTTTATCTATTTATTTATCTATTTTTGTTCATTTTTCTTTTTATCATTAGTATGTCTGTATACCTTTTAGTGACGGGTTTAGACTCCATACTTTTAGAGGTCCAAGGCTTGCAAACTGTCCCAAACTGAGCTCGAGATAAAATATAGGGATTCCAACCAAAAATAGACAGATGCAATATGGAATCAAAAACGCACCTGCAACGACAATGACAGCGAATATAATCTTTGACTTCCAACGAACAAACGATTAAACATCACTTTCTTCTATATCAGCTGTCAAGCTAAATCACTGGCAGAGTTAAACGAAGGGAAATAACTCTGCGATATCAAATTGCTTAACATATGTAAACAATACAAATTGTAATACAATTCTTCTCGGAGATACATGTATATCTTTTGTTTCCTTGCGAGGCCATACATTTTTAGGAAAATAAGTACATTCTACAACTATCTTTTCAAAACAAATACTCATAAACTGTTTAGACAAATTGATACCTACCTCCACCATTCTTGAAACATAGGTACGGAAACCTCCATACGTTACCAAGTCCAACAGCGTATCCTACACATGTCAGAATGAATTCCAACTGGTTAGACCACGCCTGTCGCGGTTGATCGGCCTAGAAAACACAACAAAGCATGAAGTTAGACCTTATTCAAGAAAGAGAAAATATTTTGTAACTAGATCCAATAAAGGAGACTTAATCTATGATAAATGAGGTCCAAGCAGCAAAACAAATACTTGAGCAATCAAGGATTACATCTTTGTAGCAACGAGTACATGAGAGATGCTAAAATGTTCTTCCAGGTAAGAAAATGGGTTCATCTCAGGAGACCGCGAGTACACCGGATAGAAAAGTAGCAGCGCACAGTGCATCTAATTAAGCTGACTGCATCCAAATAGTCAAAAGTACATCCTATTGAACAAGAATTACATCCTACTTCTCAGAACAGATTCAATCCAAATCTGAAGAATTTGCAGACTATGCAGAATTTGTTCTTTAGACCTGAAAGAAATTCAATCAAAAACATAATTTCAACAAATCGCGTTAACGTGATATTTCAATTTCTTGTTAATAAGGCAAACCTTCATGATTTTAATCAATACTTCGTTATTTTTTTATTTCAGTTTAAACTATATATAAAAAGCGTATTAGATTACTGAAAATTAGTTACAAAATCTAGATTATATGATTAAATATAGAGATTTCCTCAACAAATTAGAATTTATCAATGTATTGATCAAACATGTTTCTCTTGTATAACAAGCGGGGTCAAATATTTACAAGATTGATTCCTATATCTTATACATATAAGGAGAGGACAAAACTGTAATCTGATGACATGTTGTAAATAGAGAATATTTAATCTTGTCTTCAGTAATAACAAATATAATTCACAAGTGTGTCTAATATTTTATTATCAGCACGAGTGAATGATGCAAAAATATTAGACATACGAGTTAAATATATTTGTAACTACTGAAGACACTATCAAATATTTTATTTGTTTCATTTTCATAAGAAAATATAGTCTGTTTATATTACAAATCATCAAAAATATGAAAATACAAAAATTAAATTAAACGTACATTTATTTTTATATTCATATAGAAAATGTTACTTATTCATGACACTAAGAGTAAAAAATACATCCAAAGAGACATTGACTTGTGACAAGTTACTACGCGGCTGAAAATATGGCGGTTACAGATGTCGTTGTTTATAACACGAACCCCCTTGAAATGACAAACGTGTTAGCTCCACGTTCAAGACGTTTGGTTTGATATTTGATTTGACCTCTGATAAGGTAATTCACATTGCGTTGTTTGCTGACTTTAATGGAAATAAAAGTTTACAATGGAATTGAAGGTCATGTCACTATCAGTTGACTTGTGTTCTTTCTTTCCAATGGTGTAAGTCTGCAAACGTTTTATTTTTCACTATTGTATAATAACAAAACTAGTGAAAAATAAGATTTTTTATCCATGAGATATTTCCTTATATTTCGCTGGTAAAATTGAATTAAATACTGTTTTATTATAGGTTTTTTGCTCTCCTTGTTCTTCTAAAACAACTTGTTCATGTTGCTGTTTTGAACCACCAGAAAAACTTGTATCCATTCTTTGAAGCGCTAAAGACATTGGTCAGTGAACTGAAATAAGGAAACTCTGACCTTTACTACACGGCCAAACTTTCAGAACATTCTTGTTCGGAGTATTACTATCGAAGCGTTAATAGATATATGATAAACTGGAAAATCGTCTGCATCAGTGAAGTACACTCAAATAAAGTCACTGTGGTATTCAGTTCAAGATCAAATACCTGCATTTTTTAAATAAATAACTTTTGAAATAACAACTGGTAATATGCAGTGCAATATCATTGGGTTGCTATGACCTTCACTCAAAAATCAAAAGGTCGATTTGTACAAATTAAGCAGTATATTCTTGTCCGATGTGTAACTTTTGGATTTAGACAGCCATTGATATCTTTATATCTAGAAACATAAATTGATCATCCACAGTCAGTGTTTTGAAACTCGGTCAACACAGATCATTCCCCAAATACCAAAGTGGCTAGCTTGTTCAGTACATTTTATCTGTACCATAGCTTTCAAACCATCATAGATAACAAGTTGATAGAAATATATCTGCACTAACGCCAGATGGAATACTTTTTTAGGTCATCGTGAGCTTCAGATCAAGGTCAACGGTAATAATGATGAAGCCTTACAACACATCTCCATCCCTGTCACTGTCACTGTGATATTCATCCCAAGCTGTTAAGTGAAAATTTTTACCGTGTTACCTCTTTTAAATCATAGAGATGTACTGTTAAAATTGAAAATCACCTGATTATTAGTGGTCAAGATCAGGGCAAAGTTTTGAACCATTCATCGATTTAAAACTTATTTTGATTTCTATAAGTAAATTTTTGATATATCAAAATAGAAAATATGATCGTGTCAGATCAGTGGGGAATATTAAATAGATTCAGTTCTAGTTAAATACTAACTATCAATAAATATCCATATATGTCATTCTAACTCTGACCTCTAAACTTACGTATATCAATTACTAGAATGCATTCGTCTTACTCCAACGTTGCCATTTATGAACATACAGATAGTAAACCCCTAATCAATAGCAAGGTTAGAGATTAAGGCATGATGAAATATCTTATTTCATCTTGGGGTCACAGGTAAAATACGTTCACGGCATATCAATCAGAAAACCGGAAACAACTGCGACATGTGTATACAGTGACATTTAAGGAGCTGTAGAATTCTCACATTTCCACTTCATATGACGTCATACTTGACCCTGACATACTTTCCATGTGATGATTGCTTTTATAGTGTAACTGGGGACTTTTCGAATTTCATAGTCTCCTCATATCTTGATAATAACTCACAATATATCGCTCTCAAGAGCCGTACACTCCACTTATCTGAAGCGTACACACTTCATTCATTAAAAGAAACATATAGTCGCACATTGTCTCTCTAACTAGAGCCAGTCGCAATTTCAATGCGTTGCAATGAAGTTGTAAGTTATGTCATTTTTCAGTAACACGTGGAGAAATACATGTTTTTAAACACAACAAGAAAATACCAATATGTCAACATAATCGTAATCCAAACTGCATCATAAAGCTGTTTTGTCCTTTAGGACTCGTTATGATGCTACATTATACAACTGTTTTTGTTGTACTAGAACTCGTCAGTGATGCTACATCATACGCTGTTTTTGCTGTACTAGAACTCGTCAGTGATGCTACATCATACAGCTGTTTTTGTTGTACTAGAACTCGTCAGTGATGCTACATCATAGGCTGTGTTTGTTGTAGTAGAACTCGTCAGTGATGCTACATCATACGCTGTGTTTGTTGTACTAGAACTCGTCAGTGATGCTACATCATACAGCTGTTTTTGTTGTACTAGAACTCGTCAGTGGCACTTACGGTATATTTTGTGAAAATCTCCATAAATCTAAGTGACTACAAAAAGTTTGAAAATCTAGTTTGTGATGTGCCCTTGTCCCGTATTTAAAACAATTCGTTATTTACACGTTTCTGATCATTTTAAAAGAACCTCAAATTTATGTGATAATTCTGGCTTACAGGTTACTGCAAATTATATGTCATCTTTCTTATATAATATTATTCAAACAATTTTCCTCACAAGACGAGAATTCAGGAGATATGCCTATGGACCTCACGTTAAAATGCATAGGCTAAGCATGCTTGTACATAATGCACAAATACATTTATCCATTCAGAATAATTAAACATACTTTCATTTGACATACATATATGAAATAAAAGGGTTAAACTCTTAGATCTACTTTGAACAGCACATAAAACCGCACATGAATATTTATAAAGCATATATATCGGAGCAGCATGTATTACGGTTTTCCTTTTTAAACAGAGCGAAATGTTAATCCACCATGAGACATCACACACGAAATGATATTTCCAGATACTACTTTCTGACTTTAACATCAAATCTCAATTAGTTTCATATTTTTTCAATATTAGATGCTTATATTTTGATGTGTCCCAAATTCTAATGAAAGAAAACATGGTAAATTAAACATTAACACGCCGTGTCCATCCTCTGTGAATATCGAAAATTGTACAAAAGTCACACAATATAATAGCACCTTTCAAATCAAACTACATTCGAGCCAAACCATTCTTTAGCCCATCAAGGATTCTGAAAACTAACTATCTATCATGGTTTAGTTCCATACTGCTAACGTCTGGATACCAGCTAGAGTCATTTGGCCTCCCTTTGTATGACAGGTGAGGGTATATGTCGAGTGCATTCATGGTTGACTGACGAAGGCTTACAAGGGACATGAGCTTCAATCTAACTAGATCCTATCAAGTTGTTGGTAGGCATGTCTTGTAATATTGTTTAATGTGATTTAAGTTTATCTTATCAAATTCACCTTATGAACATTACTTTAACCCAATTCTAGTTAACAAGTTGACATGGGTTAACATTCTCTGCATCAGACGAAGAAAGGTATGGGGTTATCTGCCTTATCTCTGATAATTCCCCGGGGTTTTCCCACATTTCAGGACATAACGCGTTCCAATTCATACCAACAGGAGTCACTTGTATGGGTGTCAGCCTTCTACCGTAACATACTGTGTATCGCAGTTATTGATTTCGTAAGTGACTGTGATGCATCATAACTGACTTACCAATTTCCCGTATACTATGCCTGGACGAGAAGTGACTTTATCGTATTGGTAACATTTCAGTGTTTGACACAATACAAGCGCCCTGCAATTGTCTGTCCATATTTACGGACGTGAGCCTAGGTGACAGTATTATCTTCATTGTAAAACCGTATCTCTCGATCATAAGGCGGCAAGTAGATAACTCAAAACTTTTCTCCAAGTTAAGTATATTACATGTATAATCTTTCGTCTCAATCACACATGGTGTAAACATTCGATGAAAATATATATCTATTTATACATATATTTGCTTTTAATCGTAAATCTTGACTTCAATGTATTTGCTTAAAACGGCATATCATATTTACGTAACTGCTTAATTTTGTCTACGTTATCGTGACAAAATGTTTAAAAAAAGTCTTAAGAGACTTTTCATGTGTATTCTTTTAAACTGATAAAAAAAAAACTCTACATTTCCAAACGTGTTACGACGACAAGAAATACCGACATGTAAACAAAATCAAATATAAATGACGATTAACTATGAACAAAGGAAATATTTACACTCAAATAGAAATAGAACACATATACATCGTCCGCATCATCGACGACATTTGTCATGTACATTCAGGTCAATACAAGTAAAAAATGTCAGGTTCTGAAGTGAGAACAAGGGTTATAAGAACAATAACACTGCAAAATACAATAATCTTACCTCGGGATCTGGATCTTTTGATATAATCCGATGTGCAAATGTCTGATCAAATGTTCCAAAAGGTGTTGTTTTCTGATTACGAGAGTGCGTGAGCAAATTCTGTTCCGACATGACAGTCAAACACAGTCTCACGTAATACTTTGTACAAGTTATATGATGTCAATCGCGGTCGAAATTCCCCGTCTGTTTATATTATTGTGTATGTAACCGCTAAAAGATGTGAGAGCTCTTGATATGGACTATCACGCATGATTTAAGACGATATTATTAGTGAATGATTAGGACATCTATGACTCGGAATAAATAAACAATTGGTTGGTGAATAAAGTTTAGTTAGCTTGACTTCACGTTTCTTTGTCGAAAGTTTAACCTGCTGTAACAGTCAACAGTACACTGACTCTATTGTAAAATAAGATATTTTCAGGTATCGCAATTTTCGTTGTTTTCTAAAAACAAAAAATACTATTTCATGGATAGATTTAACTTGATCAGTCTATTTGTACTAATTCAGAGATATTAACACATATGAATTTGTTACCCAGAATACCCACGAAATGAACTAAAAGATTCTCTTCCAAAATTAATGATTTTCACAGAAAATAAAAATGATCCTTTTAGACTCAGAATCATAATGAATTTAGATTCTACCCGTCAATCTTATTGTTCTAGCTTTTCGCTTGATTTTGTTCGGTTACTTTAACTACGGCAGACAACTAACAGTCACTGGATAACAAGGGAGAACACTGCTCGTATACAGACAAGCTGCTGTATATAACATGTGCACATTAATCAAGATCTCCGATCGCGGAATTTGTCAACAACGGTGCAACTTTGAAGTGAAGGGGAAATTTGATTTAAAATATACAAGCATAGGTTCACACCTTTACTGAAATAACATAGGTATACAAACACAAATAACGAACCAGTGAAAGTTTTCTCTGATTCTCTTGGTAACAAGAAATCACCAGGAATGAAAATTATATTATTGTTGCGATTATTTCCAGATAAATAAATCCATTTGATACAGATACGAAACTTATTAAACTTGATTTTGAGTATTTGTTTCAAAATATCTGAATATTACTAGAAAAAACAAAACAAACAAAAACCAATTTAATAAAAAACCAAAAAAACAAAAACAAAAAACAAAACAAAAAAACAAAAAACAAAAAAACCAAACAAAAAAAAGAATGTTTAACCAAAACGTTTGATAAACTTTGAAAATAGTCAGGAAAAAAACCAAAAATACCAATGGATTGATACAAACGTTTCTATGTGTTAGACTCTAGGACATTTATAGATGTGCTTCCTTTAAACAAGAATTCGAGAGAAGTAAAAAAACTAGCACCGGTTTATTGCATTGATCTGTTAAGATACTCGATATGATTTCTTCAGTAAATTATCGCTTGCTTTCTATGAAAAGTTTGCATAAATTTTGTAGTTTATAAGTGAACAGTCTCATCTTATTTTTTAAACTTTTTTTAATCCTAGAAGTAAACATCTTGAGGATTTAGATAAACATTTTATGCAGCATAAACTCCATTCATACTTGAAAATAATAAATTTATTTTTTACAACAATTTCGAAACAAGCTATCACTTTCTGTCAATCACTTAATGCTTAAGTGGAGTTGAAAGGTGTTCTGCACCTGGATGGCCTTGGTAGCAAATTCTGTTTACAATGATAAAAAGAAAAAAACATCGTGAACTGTTTTTATTTATTTTTTTAAGGGAAGATAACAGGTTTGGTCCTGTCTTTGTGATTGTTTTACATCCGACCAGTGAGAGCTCTGAGTCAATAAAAATGGATTTATTTTGGATTTTGTCTGTACATATAATAAAATATCGAACCCAAGACATTGTTTGCTAACAACCTTGGTATCCTGCTGACATCTATTCTTTTCACAAAGATAGACATTCGTCTATTTTACCTGAAGGTTGGAATATGTTAATGACAACCGACAAGTGTCCAGGAATTCGGACAGATCAATTTCATCTTGACCCCTAAGGTCATAGCAGTCCGGCTGTACATCATATATATTTACATCTCGCCGGTTTATTAACTTTTTTGTACTTTTCGAATCAATCCGACATAAATTTCAATATGTAAATATGAAACGATATGCGTTTGAAAAACATCACATATAAAAACATGAAATTCACAAACCCCTAAACCTAACGTCCGATTTTTTTTGATAGCTGAATTTTTTTTAAAGTTCTGGTCTATCATAAACTAAACTCCTCTCAAATATGAGTCTATGCGTACACCTAAGTCATTTACACAACATCGTAGGAGCCATTCTGATAATCTCTTCCTTGGGAAAGAATGACTTAATGATTAGAATCAAGTGTAATTTTCATAAAAACAAAAACAAAAAAATATATCTTGTTATACTTATTGAATACATAATAACGAGCCATCGAGACATATCCATATATCAATAAGAATCATTCTCAACTTAGCGTAGTATTTGTAGTATTAGTGATAACGTTATTGACAGAGGGAGGTGGTCGCTGTCAACGAGTGCTGAGATAACCTGAATAGTTAACGCCATCCTTTAATTTCAGTTATATGAACAACGCGTATTATTCAGGTTTTATATCTCCGGGAGTGGGAGTGGAGAAACTTGTTTTGAAACACCATATTTGTGATACGAAGTGTTTTATGGTCTACGTCATGGAAAAGTACGCAGGTCATGGAATATTTTGGTGACCGTGGTGGCTTGTAAACACAAAATAGCTAGGACAGCAGAAACGGACGTAAAGAAGCGTATGGCAAATAGCCGTGTCAACAGGCATTAGAAGCAACGCTTTTAAAGACCAAAACTAGGAGTGGAAAATTTGGTAAAACTTACCGGATCAAGTTATATAGATACTGTGAAATCTAGTTTCATCTCTAGATGAACACAAACATATTTTTAAGTTCGTCTTTCAAGTAGAGAGAAATATATATATATTTGTATATATATATATTTGTATATTTAAAAAATATAGTTTCTTCTTTGCATTGTCAAGGAACAATTTGGCCGATGTCTTATGTATATAGACTAAAACTAAATTTTATCATACTTCTTGGCTTTATTTCGAATTTCTATCTTTAATTCATTGCTCTATGAATACGAGCATGAATCCAAGAAGTGATATCAGACTGTAAATGTTTATATATCAATATCAAAATATCATTTATTTGCAAAATAAAGTAGTGAAAATGCTTTTGTTTATGTCATGGTCTCGAATGCATTTAATTTCAGGATGGCAGTGGAAAACTGAATATACAATTAAGTGAAGTATTGTTATAATCAGTCAGTTCTGGATATCTACGCCATTTCTGCCATTTCTGTATATCGAAATATAATTAAATATTTCCTCGTTAATATCTAACTTTTAAATTCCCGGAAATAAAAGAGGTCGTTGGTAGCTGATAGCAATTAGTTTGTAAAATTTTCCAGAAGTTTCACAACTTCATACTTAACGCTTCCTCTTGGTAAGACTTAGTGTCAAATACAAATATGTTTGGTAGAACTGTTTTATCAAACTGCCTTATGCAGAATATGGGTTTGAATTGTCCAGGTATGTATCCTGTAACCTTACAATCTATCAGAGCCATATAAAATAAACAATTGGAGGCTGTGCTTATGAATTAAGTAGCCATCTACATATATCTGTCTGGTTCGTTAAAACTGTGACAAAAACGTTACCCACTTCGCAGAAAAGTTACACAAAAGCATTCAAAATCGAGGTAAGACAACGAGAACTGATGCTCGTCCCATCTCCAAAAATTAATTTGCATTTAAATCATTTCACTTGCAGTAAAATGAAGCTGTCCAATAGTACACTGCCCGATAACTTTATAGTATGTCTAAAGCTTTATTTCAACAACAAAAACAATTATCAATCATTCATTGTACCTCTCACTCAATACTCTTCTGTTTCAATTGACACAACTTATTTATTTTGATTGTGTTTTGTCAGTATTTTAACGTTTTGTGTATTTGATAGATTTGAAGAAATACATTATGTCACGTGTTCCCATAAATGTGTGTGTTTACTGATGAATATAGATATTGTGTTTTACAATTGCAGGGTGAACTATGAATGATGATGATTTACTGGCTAACCACATTTTGATTCATTCTAGTAGTAGCAAAGTTTAGAGTATGTACTTAACGCTGTTCTAAAATCATCTATTATATGAAAATTAAAAAAAAAAAAATGATAAAATATCGGACTGCTTGCTGCACCTCCCCGTCTAGATTTTGACTTTTCTGTCGATCACTTTGGATTATCCCTCAGTCGCCTCCTAGACTTCAAAATTTACTGACAACACCAAGAAGGACGAAACAGCTGTATAGTGCAGTTTAACTCGTTGTTTGGTTCTACAGTATCTAACTCTAGATTATCAAAAGGTGTTATTCACCTGTGCGTCTTTTGTTCATCATTCTATACTATAAGTTATGAAGTCAAGACCTCATGTGACAGGTGCTGTTTATATCGTGAACCTTAGTCGGGCACTGACATATTTTGTTTATCATGTTTATTTGAGAGAAGACTTTATAAGTTAATCGATATAAGATACCTTGTGTACACATTTTTATCAATGTTTATAAAAAATATATAATGTCCAGGTACTAAGGAAGCACACTCCTTTTCATAAATCAGTTGAATTTGTAATTTTAGGTGTGTGACAGAAAGATAAATTGAGAGGCATACGAGAAGGTTGATACAAATACAGGCATACGTAATATTTACCTTAATCTTAATCTGATAGTAAACACGGTGTAAACAGCGAACAGCAAAACATCAGATAAGTCAGGCTGTATTTGATTAATCAACCGAGAAAGAAAAGTTGTTTGTTTTGTGTCGGATTTGACTTTTTTTCAACATGTTTATTTTAAAAGGTGAACAGTTTCATTAAAACAAATGATAATGAGAAACATTACAATCATCCCTAATCAGTGACGTCATTGCTATGATGACAACATCGGACATCTGCGATGATTTTTGGTCGGGGATATGTTTCATTTTACTGTCCTTGAATCCAGTGTATCCCCCCCAATGAACATTCCGAGTGATATTTTGAATACTTTTCCTTTTTATATGATTTTTGTTTTC